TCACCATCCTAGAGGAGCTGGTGGGGCTCCTCATGAGTGCACCAAGAGGCTGCTGGGTCAGCACATGGACGGTGTGGGCCTGGAAATAGTGCCCCAGCTTCTTCACCGTGTGGACGATGGCTAGCACCGTCTTCTCAATGGGGGAGTACCTGAGCTCGGCCTCCCTGAGTGTCTTGATGATGTAAAAAATGGCTTTCTGCACCCCTTCGTCCTCACGGATGAGCACGGAGCTGATGGCCGACGTGCTCACCCCTAAGTACAAGAAGAGGGTTTCACCGGCTTTGGGCTTGGAGAGTACGGGCGGGGACGATAGGTACCTCTTCAATTCTTCGAATGCTTCCTGGCACTCCGTCGTCCACTTGAAGCTATTTGCCTTACGCATGATCTGAAAGAAGGGGAGTGCCCTTTCGGCTGACCTGGAGAGAAAACGGTTCAGGGCCGCCAGGCGCCCCGTCAGTCGCTGTACTTCCTTGACGTTGCGGGGTGGCTCCATGTTGATGATAGCCTGTGTCTTCTCCGGGTTTATCTCGATGCCTCTCCGGCTGACCATGTAGCCGAGGAACTTGCCGCCCTGGACGCCGAAGGCGCACTTCTTGGGGTTGAGGCGGAGCCTGAACTCCTTCATTATTTCAAAGATTTCCCGGAGGTCGTCGGCGTGGGAGGAGGCCTGCCTACTCTTGACGATCATGTCGTCGACGTATGCCTCCATCGTCCGGCCAAGGACCGCTCTAAAGATCTTGGCCACCATCCTAGTATAGGTGGCGCCGGAGTTTTTTAGTCCGAAGGCCATGACGAGGTAGCAAAAGATTCCCTCTGGGGTCATGAATGTCGTGTTCTCAGCGTCGTCTTCATGCATGGAGATCTGGTGGTAGCCTCTGAAAGCGTCAAGGAATGACATCAACTCGCACCCCTCCGTCTCGTCCACAAGTTGATCAATGTTGGGGAGAGGGAACGGGTCCATGGGGCACGCCTTGTTCAGGTCAGTGTAATTAACACACATTCTGAACGTCGGCGGTTTCTGGGCGAGGACGACGTTGGCCAACCATGTCGGGTACTTCACCTCTTTAATGTGTTTGATTGAGAGGAGCATGGCGACCTCCCCTTTGACGAAGTCCCGCCTGTCGGCGGACAAGTAGCGCCGCTTCTGTTTGACAGGCGCGGAGGCCGGATCGACGGTCAGCCGGTGAGTGATCACCTGGCGGCTGATGCCTGGCATATCGTCCGGGCCCCACGCGAAGACAACGGCGTATGACCGTAGGACGAGGAGGATGGCGTCTCGTTGGTCCTGGGGGAGCTGCTTCTCGATCCTGAGGACCCGCTCCGGCCGGGAGGTATTCAGAGGGACCTCCTCGACCTCCTCGGCCGGCTCAGCATGTGGCCTCTCCTCGTCCTTGGCAACGGTTGCCGTGATGGTGTCTATCCTCTGACCTTCCCTCTCGGCCGGCCTCGTCAGTTTGAGGTAGCATGCCCTGGCTATCCTCTGGTTTCCTCTGGCGTAGCCGATGCCGTCATTGGTGGGGAACTTCAGACACAAGTGCTTCATGGAGATGATGGCCTCCAAGTCCTCCAGCGCTGGCCGCCCCAAGATCAGGTTGTGGGGGCACCGGAGGTTGACCACCGTGAACTCCATGTCAATCATGGCACGGTGGGGGCCGTAACCGACCTCTACGGGGAGGACTATCATGCCCTCGGCGTCGATAGAGTCCCCGGTGAAGCCGGATAACGGTGTCTTGATCGGCTTCAGCAGAGCTCTGTTCAGCTTCAGCTCCCTGAAGGTATCCAAGTACATCACGTTGCCGGAGCTCCCCGTATCGATGTAAGTGCGGTGGATGATGGAGTCACCGATCTCACACCGGATGACGAGGGCGTCCCTGTGTGATTCCGTACCCGGAGGCAAATCCTTGTCGGTGAAGGTGATCGCCTCCGTTCGCTGCTTCTTCGGCTGAGGGGGAACGTGGGACACCTCCCCAATGTAGAGGGATTGGGCCCATTTCTTTCTTTGGGTGGCGGAGTCCCCCCCCCCCGTGTTCCCACCGACGATGAGGTGAATGTGATTCTTCTTTGGCGGGGACTCCTCGAAGTCCTCGTCGTCGCTGAGCCTACCAATCTCCCGCTTCTTCGCAGAGGGTTCGCCCCCATGTTTGCTGGTGTTTACCCATGTGTTTTTGCGTGGGCCACCTTTAACAAACTGGGAGAGTTCCCCCTGGCGAATAAGACGCTCGATGGCCTTCTTCAGTGTGATGCAATCGTCGGTGTTGTGCGACGAGTTCTTGTGAAACCGGCAGTATGTGCCGCCCTGCTGGATGGCGAGGACCTCCTCGGCCGGCCGAGGAGCCTGCTCGATGAGGCCATGCTTCTCGGCATAGTCGAGGATGATGTCGACCGGGTGAGTGAGGGCAACCCCCGGCCGTTCCAACCTCGGTCGCCAGTGGCGATCTTTCTTACTCTGTCCACCAGAGCCGTGACGGCCCTGGGCACCCTGGCCGGCCGGGGACGGATCCGGGGCCGGCGAAGGATTTGTCTTCTTGGAGGGATGGCCCCCCTCTTTCTTGTGATTGTGGAGCTCGTCGGCGTCGGCGTACAAGCCTCCGCGCTGGAGCGCCTTGGTGTACGACCTCGGAGGGTCGGTGATGAGGCTCCTAGCGTACGGGGAGCTGCGGAGGGCTCCCTGATACAAGGCGAGGAGGGTGCGCTCGTCGGCCCCCTCGACTTCTTCGGTCTCCCTCGTCCAACGATCAATGAATGAGCGGAGGGACTCATCATGTTGCTGCTTGACGGAGAGGAGGTGGGTGAAATACTTCTTCGCACGCTTCCTCCCGGCAAAGTGGGTGAGGAAGCGTTGGGCAAGATCCTGCCATGAGTCGATGCTCCCTTCGGGGAGCGCGTTGAACCACTCGTACGCTGGCCCCTCGAGAGTAGAGAGGAACCAACGGCAGAGATATTCATCTGACGCGTTCACCATCAGCATGTTGTTCTAATAGCGACTGAAGTGCTCCTGGGGGTCTGATCGGCCGTCGTAGGACTTGATGGCGTTTCCCATGTACTTCTCCGGGATGGGGGCCGAGAGGACCCTGTTGGTGAAGGGGATCCTGGTCCTGACCTGGATGATAGGGTCACCTCGCCCCTCGGCCAACTCCCTCTCCAGGGCGCTGACTTTGTTCATGAGCGCGTTGAGGCCGGGGTTATTGGAGGCGCCGGTCGTAGGGATATTGGCCGACTGCTTGGCCTCCATCTGTGCCAACCTCCTTTCCAGCTGGGCGATGACCTCGTCCCGGGGGTCCCTGGTGGCCGCAGCGGCGCCCGGCTGGTTCCTCATGCGCTCGTCGTGAGCCGCATTGATCTGGTGGCGCACGTCGTCTTCGTGCAGCTTCCCATTGCCCTTGTCCGGGCGGGGCTGGTCCGCTGTCCGGGACACAGACCCCAAGCTTTCCCTTGGCGAGCCAGGCCAACGCTCGCCAATCCGTCCCGCCATCCTCTCCGAAACCGGACGACGGCGCGTGTCACCTAGCCTGTTGAAGGCAGAGGCTTTTCCACGCGCTGGGGTCTGCCCAGGCCGAAGAGGGGAAGCAGGGTGGGAGTGGGACGACGCTGTGTCCTGGGCCACCACCCCCTCATCGTTGCCTATCTGGACGGCCAACGGTTGGGGCTGAGGAGGTTGAGTGACGTTCCCCCCCCGGTCCTTGGCAAGAGTGCGCTGAGGACGGTGGGGTTCTGAGCCAGGCTGGCGATGATGACCGACAGCGCGGCCTGGACCTGTGGATCCACGGACGGAGAGGCCGCGGCCATAGGTTGGGCCGGGGCGTGGTCCGTCTTCTCAACTCGTTTCTTGTCCAAGCCGATGCGGGCATCAGGGGCTCCGCCGTTGAGTTGATTGCGGAGGTCTGCCGTGAGGTTGGAGGCCTCCTGGAAGACGTCCCCTCCGCCGACCTGGTCGGCCGTGGCGTCCTCATCGTGCTCCCTGGGCTCTTGGTCCTCAGGGATGGCCTTGCTGACGAGGTTGCGGTTTGACTTAGTTCTTCCCATGATCAGTGGTTAGCTGTGCTTGGTAGCGACGAAGGGTGCTAACTTGATTGTTCTGGCTCTCAACGAGAGCACCAAATGATAGAGTATATCTAGAGAGAAGTGAGAGCTAGCGAGAGAAGTGCAATATATGCTTCAATAGAATGAATTTGTAACCCCTATAACTACTCCCAAGGGGAGTATTTATAGAGAAAATACGGGCTGGGCTCCCAAGCCTTGGGCTTGGGAGGCCCATCTACAACTGGACCGCTACTGGGCCGAATACAAAGCCACTAATGGGCTGTACAAATAAGTAAGTGTAGAATCCGGTTCTGTGGAGTCTTCGTGGCCGACGAGGGCGTGGCCGACGAGGGCACGACCGACGAGGGCGCGGCCGACGAGGGCACCCGGGTTCCTTGGCTTCAGGACCATAATCTGAGTTGGCACCTTCTCGGCCGACGGGGGTCCCTTGGCCGACGTGGGCGCCACTCGGTATCTTGTGCTTGCTGCTCTTCTGAGTATGTGGGTCCTGGGGCTCAGACCCATATACTCCATCACATACGGTCCTCTTCGTTGCCACCCGCTTCGCTTTACATCAAACATAAATGAAGAAGAGGAATAATAGGAGCATCAAGTGGCGACATGAAGGCGGAGGCGGTGGCGACGACAAGTGCATGGCGGAAGACGTCAGCAGACGGTCACAATGGGTGTTGCGGCTGAAACACACAAGAGATGTGATGGAGCAGAACAGCTGAATCACGAGGATAGGCTTAGGATTTGATAAGGGGCATTCTGGTCATTTCAATATTATCTGGTCACTTTATTGTCCATACGAAAATCTAGTCATTTATTTGTCTAACGAAAGTTGAGAAGTAATATTTGTGTCTTTATTTCCTAATAATTTGGCTATTGCATTAAAAAAATGTTGTTTAGTGAAACAACCGAAAGGTGAGCTGAAAAATCTGGTGGACCGGACTAAGAATTTCCTTTCCTGGACCATTATCAATTACTCCGTAATAAGGTTAGAGGTTGGGAGAGTCAAATTTCCTTTCCTTGACAATTATCAGTCAATACATTACAGGTTGGGATGGAGTAATGAATTGATCTCAAATGGCAATGAACCATACAATTTACTAAACACTTTCAAGTAGTGCTAAAAAAATCCCACTTCATTATCAACTATTGACAATCAAAAGTTCAAACAGGAAGTTAGATTAGATGTGTGTGCGTTATATATGTGCTCTATCATCACAATTAGTTAGGAGAAGGGTGGCACCATCACTTCTATGGTCCCGAAAAAATATCTTCAAGAGTGGAGCTTGGAGGAGTTGAGGTACTAGTTTTGTTGCTTGCTTCTGAATCCACTTTGATAATATTTGAACCACCAATGCAAGAATTCAATGAAGGGGTAAGGATAGAATCATAATTAATACTTCCTGGTCTATACACCATTTTAGCATTTTGGTCGCCAAGTGAGCTTGAAATCTGACTAGAGCTAGGGACGTTGCTTCCTAGTCTTGCAGTGTTGGTGATATTGGTCACCACTAGTTTAGGGCCAGAATTAGACTGAAGTGCACAAACTGTTTTCATCCGGGTAGCATCTCCGTTGGGTGCATTGGCTTCATTGGCTCCATTGCCTCTGCGTATTATTTTAGCCTTTCTGGAAAAAAAATATGGAAATACGGAAATTTGAGTGTGTATATAATCAAGGCCTCCTTCAGGAATTTACTCGTTCCCGAGAATGGGATGTGATGCTCGAGTTTGGATTACAAAAACTATCCAGAATTTGGCGAGTTCCATTTCACCAAATTTTATATAATCTAGGCTATATTTGGTAGCCTTTTTATACTTATTCTGTTGAATAATTAGGATAAGCCAGAGAAAAACAGGCCTTGATTTTCATGGTGAAACTGATATTTCCAAGAACCTAGGCCTATTCGAAAACATGGCACATTAGGCCATTTCAGCCAATAGCTCTTACCAAACGGCCCCCCTAAGGTTCCGATTATCCAACTTTGACCGCCAAATGAATCCAAACATGGGCGTATAAAATGAAAAAAAAAATACTCATGCAGCTGAAGCACAACATATACCTGATTACTCTCTTCTTTGATACGACAACTCTCAAATTTGGCCCACCTATGGAGAGCAGGTAGCAAATGAAGAATATCAGCAGCACAAATTTGATAAATGTTCATAAATATGTGCATAAATATCTGCGGCCCATTTGGAAAATAGGGGGATGAAATAAAATGCTTAGGAAAAGACTCCATAAATCAATTTTAGGTATTTTTAAACTCAATTTTTTTACATATTTCTATCATATAAAGAATAAAAACTCTAAGCAAAAACCAGACAGAAAAACTATTTTCCTTGCGCTACCATTTTAAGAGTTCCAAATATTGCCTTAGTGAAGCAGATAAAAAGAAAACAAATCAGATAACCCACCAGATTTTAGAGGATTGGGACCGGGTTTGTGTTTTCCCCTCTCAGCCTTGATGGAAGCTATTATAGAATCTGCGGATGGCCCCAGACCCTTCCTCCCAACCAGCTTCACCCCAAATTTCTCACAAAGGCAATTCAACCTCGCCTCATCACCCCCTCTCACCTCTCTCAACTCCATTGCTTGTTCCTTAGATATCAATGTGTAAACATGCAGTTCTTGCTGCTGATTAAAGTGAGACTGAAGCTGCTGAAAGAGCAACCCATCATGGCTTTTCTTCCTCGGCCCGCTAAACGTCACCCTTACTACCGCTGCTGATTTTACATCAATGACTTTTCTAGCAAAGATCACAGAAAAGCTACCAAATTCCAAATCCGGCTGCCTGAATAGATCAGTAAGAAGAGATGCACAAGAATGAGCATTCTTCCAAGGGTTTTTTTCAACTTTTGTACTCAATGTTCTAACTTTGGCATAATGAGCGATGTTGGAAGCTTCTCTAAGCCCAGTGAGAAAAGCTCCATGCATGGTTGCTGGATACCGTCTTGTGGTGGCCTCACCCGCAAAGAAAAGCCTGCCATCTCCCACATTTTCAGCTAGAATATCATAGTCGTCCCCAGATGCACCCACAGCAACATTGGAGTATGAACCTAAGCTGAAGGGGTCACTGCCCCATCTTGTACAAACTGTTTGGATGGGTTCAGGCACTTCAATTCCTTGTGGTTCATATATACCTGGTTACAGTAGGTTTACTTTGAGCAATCATATTTATGAGAGCTTGAGAGGTAACTGAATAAGCAATTGCAATTATGTAACTTCACTTGTCTCAAACCAAATATATATTCCACTAGTATATTCCAAAGATACTTTATACTCCATCTGTCCATAAAAATCTTGTTTCAAGAGCTCTTGTTGTCTCAATAAAAGAGCATAGTTTTGAAATCCAACTTGAGTTTAACTGTTTAAGTAAAACTCCTGTAAAGCCAAGTGACAAATGATTTTGGCTAATTACTCCAAGCAATCTTGGAAGACTGGAAGTAAGTTTTTTAGGGCAAAAGTGAGCGTTTTATATCTCTAAAAGCTAGTACCCTCATTCTGCAGTCCAAAAATAAAATGATGTACCTTACTCAAAATAACTCTTTTTTAAAGTGGAGAGTCTAAATAGCCACAAAGGGATTTGATTGTCATTTGTTACACTAGTTTGGCAGACATTGTGGCCTATAAAGGCAAGCATTTATTAATAGGGGTAAAACACCCCCCCCCCCCCAGGCTTGTGTGTTTTACTCCTCAACTCGCAATTGGTGGGCACTTCAAATAAATATCACAGAAAACTCTTCTACATTATCTCACCAACCTGTTTTCTAGAGCTGATAATATTCTTTTCTCAGAAGAACAGTCCCATTATGTGCCAATTCACACATCACAAATTCACAAAGAATATACACTTAGGAGAAGGGGTTTCAAAAAAAAAGTGCAACACCCATGAATGTGGCTTTTTACCTTTGAGAATCTGGAGAACACGCGTCACCGCATCAGTGGGAGGCATGGTCTCGAATTTGTGAGCAGCTTCTCCAGCCACTAGAGCTATCAATAGGGGTCCACCAGCAACAGGAGCGTAGCTATAGAACAGAAAAAACTCTCCACGATGACTAGGATCCTCAGCCAAATGCCCAAACGTATCAAGATCAGTACCCCAGAAAACATGCGAGAAAAGCATTGCAACCTTATTCAACAAACCAAATCCCAATCTCTTTATCCCATCAAGCTTCCTCTGGGGCAACTCCGGTATGAACTTAATAGACCCATTCTTGAGAACCCCAAGCGAAACGGTGCAAAGTGCCATGTCACCATCAAATACCTGTGACCCAGCAACAACCTGGATGCCATCACTACCATAACGGATCGTGTTGATGGTTTTCTCATAAAGAATAGGAACGTTCTCAGCCAAAGCCTGAACGAGCCTTCCGTTTCCTCCGGGCAAGAAACAATGGTCCCCTCCCATATCATAGGGATCATCTTGGTCCCAAAACGCCAGTGAGAGTTTTGAAAGCAAACCTGCATTTGCATACTCAAGATTTGCAAGATGCCAGTTAAATAAACTCAATTCCTCTGTATTTACCTCATTTCCATTAATCTGGAGGAAAGTTTCCAACGCAGCCCCTAGAGATACATCCTGAGAAACATCCCCCATAGATTGTCTGAGTTTGCTTGCTTGGTCTAAAAGTGTGTTGAAATCCGTTTCCACCTTCTTATCCAAATTTGGATCGACCGGTTTCCCGTCTGGTCTGTAGAGGGGGCACTTATCCCTTACCTTGTGAAGTGTATAAGAGAGTTGCCTTGCAATAATTCCAAGTGGATTTCCCAACGTGCCTGTCAATACACTACCTCCTAAATCTGCAGATGCTGCCCGGTTCCCACCTTCCATCTTCTTTGTATACACCCTCCCTCCTGCCCGCTTCCTTCCCTCCAAAACAGTCACTTTAAAACCGAATGAGAGCAATTGTCTTGCTGCAGCCAAGCCTGCCATTCCTGCCCCAATCACGATCACTCTAGGCTTATCAGGGTCTGTATCCATCCTCTCCTTGATCGCAGGTGTCACCCCAAAGTTGATAAACCCACGCGAGACCAAATAGTTATATGCCGAATCCAACAGAGTAGTACATTGCTTCGGGATAATATCTGTAAACATTTCCTTCGTCAGCCAAGTAGACACATTTTCCCGCCATTTTGCTATGATATGGTTCCTGATGAGGATGTAATTTACCTGCTCAATCCCACCGACCCCGACATTAGAAACAACTCCGGCATCTATCTCCTCATCAGTAAGCGAGTCGGCAGGAAACCCAGCAGTTAGAGCAATCAACGCCTCGGAAGTGGCCTCTTTGTTGATCACTATGATCTCATCCGAAACATCAGCAGAACTTTGTCTTTTCTCGGCTGCAGCGGTACCATTACCAGGGTCGCCGTTGAGTCTCGACAAATTGGAATTTTCTGACAGATGTCCTATAAATTGTATGTCATTGTAGGCCTGGTTCGAAGCTGTCGTACTACGGGGACGGCCTTGCCTCCGCTTCCGAGGAATGGAGAGAGATGCCAACTGTTGATTGATTGAGGAAGGCTTGGAACTATGATTATGGTCATAAATAGGAATTGGACTGAAACTTGGGTTAGGGTTTGGATGGGCATTAGATTGCGGCAAATGGATTGTGAAGTGCAGCGGATTGTTACTGGTAATGTACGGGTTGTTCTGGTTAGGGGCATGGTGCGGTGGATCCATATATTTGTCGTCCTCCTCTGAGAGCTTCGCACTTCACAACTAAGCTTGAGAACGGTGAGGAAGAGGAATAAACCCGTGTCCGAATTGAATAAAACGGGTGGAAAAAACTGGTATTATTGGTTCGGGTTCGGGTGTTTTGCGCGAACCGTAGCAGAAACTAGAAAACCAGAAGAAATAAAAGGGAAAATGATCAATAAACACCCGAATCATATATTCATATACCGAGTATACGAACACATTATTTAGTCCATGGCTAGGAAATTGCTCTACGAAAGAGGCGGAGTCCTTTGGGATTAGGGAGGCTTTGAGCTGGTTAAAAGAAAGTAGAATGAGATCAAAGCTATTCAAATCGAATGAAATTTTTCTCAGTTCAGGTTAATCGTGGAAGACATTAAAACCTTATTGTAAGAATTTAATGATATTTCTATTAAGTTTATTAAGAGATCAGCGAATCGTGCTGCTCACGAGCTTGCTCGAGTAGCCGTTTCTTTGTCTGACAGCAAAATTTTGATATCTTCTCCTCCTAGTTGTATCCTTGTAGCTTTAAACCATGATTTGATTAATATTCCCCCATGATGGATATTCATATATATATATATATATATATATATATATATATATATATATATATATATATATATCAACAAAACTCCGTATACAATATATATAAATATATAATAGCTAAATCCATGAAATCAAATATGTATGAACTATAATTAGAACTAGAATCGTACCTTGAGAATTCATTTGCATTAACACTTTAAGAAGACCCAGGAATTCAACGCGATTGATCGGCTTAACCTTCCAGTGCTATGTACCGTATGAGATGTTATTCTAGTCCTACCTATTGATGGGATATATTTAGGACTAGAGTAACTTGTAACGGTTTGGCCTTATTAATTTATAATTATTCCTTCATCATTAATTACTACAATAATGATATTAAGTAGAATAATTTATTAGACCATTTTTCGTTACGATGTTGTTACAATTATCTCTTTATTTACATGCACCGGGGGTCATAACCGTTGTATCACTTTAGTGTAATATATTTAATTTGACCCGTCACCAAAAGAAATATATTATCCTGGTATCTACACTTTTATTATTTTATGAATAGCCATTGTATTATTTATTTGATGGTAAACACATTTTAATTAATTACATATTAGGCCCCTTGTATTGTTTTCCAACATTCTCCCACTGGGCCTTATATGTAATTCTTAACAAAATGTGTTATCTTTATGAGCTCAAAAATACCATCATATAAAATAACATCCTTAAACAATCGTGTCCATCAGGCATACTAATATAGAACCATTGCATCATTTTGTCGTGTTAAACATAACTATACCACCAATGATTACTTATATCAATATTACATAATGACATAGATCAATCATGAAATGTGTAGCATGAAAATTACATGAAATGTGGCATGTACATGTAAATTTTCAACTGACCCTTCTTTAATAAACTTTAAACTTTAATAACTTAATTGTTCAGAACACACCAAATGTCTAACTTTATTCTGATCAGAAAACAAATACATAACTTATAAACTCCCACTAAACTCGATGTTCCTTAAAATCAATGACTCCCAAGTGAGCAGTGTGCTCATGAAAAACTTTTGGTGGGAGACCCTTGGTTAAAGGATCCGCTAGCATGAAGTTTGTACTTATATGTTCAATAGCGACCCTTTTATTCTGAACCCTTTCTTTAATAGCTCGATATTTCACTTCAATGTGTTTTGTCTTACTCGAGCTCTTGTTGTTGTTAGAGTAAAGCATCGTAGAATTGTTGTCACAAAATATCTTGATAGGCTTTGGTAGTTCATTTAGTATTTTTAGCCCATCAATAAAATTGCGCATCCATATTCCGTGGTTTGAAGCTTCAAAACAGGCCAACAAATCTGCCTCCATAGTTGAGGTAGCTATCATATCTTGCTTAACACTTTTCCAAGATACAGCACCACATGCTAGTAGATAAACATAGCCTGAAGTAGATTTACTAGTGTCTTTGCAACCGGCAAAATCAGAATTGGAGTATCCAACGACCTCCAAATGATCTGATTTTCTATATGTGAGCATATAGTCTCTTGTTCTCTTCAAGTATCTCATAACTCTTTTGGCCGCCACCCAATGAGCCATGTAAGGAATAAATGTATTTAGATTTTGATGATGCTAGGTTTATTAGAATTTGAAAGTACCCCATTAGAAATTGTGTATTAGAATTTCTTTTGTAAGTTTTAGCTTAGTCTGTCTGCCAGAGTTCCATCTTGTCTCTACCAGAGTTGCTCCCAGAGTTGCTCACCAGAAAAGCCATCAGAAACTGGTTATCAGGAAGATACCAGAGTTGGCAACAGAGATGGACTTCAGAGATTGGACCAGAGAACCTCTTCAGACTCTGCTAAAGCCACCAGATTCCGGAAGCCCTTCCAACGGTCGTTAAACTAACGGGAAATCCCTTAACGGTTACGAACCTTTCAACGGAAGCATGGCACTGTACACGCATTAAATGCACATTTAATGCTGTACGTACGAAGAGATATTTAAAGCTGATGATTGACCATGCGAGTATCTTTACGCCCCCAAAATAGCAAGTCGGAGGACCAAACGGTCAAGTCAACAGTACACGCATTTAATGAAGCTGTCTTCTACACTCCAACGGGAAGACTGCTCCCAGTATAAAAGATACACTCTGAAGAACTAAGAAAGAGAACTTTGCCAAGATAAATTTGCGTAAACAACCTTCTCGAGATTAAAACTTCATTCTCAGACAAGAAAAGGCTCCAGTTGGAAGATATACTTTCCTATCCTTTATCCAACTAGCAAACTGCAAAGTTACTCAGTTCTTCAACACTTCGAAAGCTTCATATACCTATCCTTTGTGAAGAAGCAACGTTGGAGAAAACTGATTTTATATCAAAGACTTCTTGAAAAAGAAGGGACGTCTCAAACTAGCTGGAGTAAGTGAAGTGGGGATACTTCAAGAGACTCAGTGAAACGAGATCAGCCATCAGGAAGCAGGACTGCATCCCGGGTGGCAACTAGACTTGAAGAAGACGAGGAGTGCTTCTTAAGCTCTAGGGACTAAGGCGTTGTAAACTGTTGTTTTTACAAGCTTAGTGGAACAGTGGACTAGAGGAACAAGTTGTTCCTTGAACCACTATAAAAACCCCGGTGTCATTTACTTTAAGCTTTTAATTCCTGCACTTAAGATTCTACTGACTAACTCATAAGGTTGGACTCTGTGTCCAGCAGATCTTCCTTCAGAGTTATCAGAAAGGCACCTTGCCTTAGCTTTCTTCCAGAGGCTACCTGGACAGAAACTTATCCGCTGCCTGGTCTAGTTCTGCCATCAGAACTTGACCATCTCTGTCACCAGATTTGGACCATCTCTGTGAAGTCAGACTTGACTTGGAGAAAATTTTAAATTCCTAAAACAGTCTATTCACCCCCCCTTCTAGACTGTTTCCATTACAAGCGGGACCAACAAGTGGTATCAGAGCCTCCTTGTTCTTGTAATCTTTTAGGTTACCTACTAAACAAGAGATCCACTTGTTTTAGCCTCTTTAATCTCACATTATGGATAACACTCTTTCAAAGAATCTTATGTTCTCAGTAACAAAGTTCGATGACTGGAGGATCCGCATGAAAGCTCACCTCTGCGCACTCCAAGACGAAATGTGGGAAGTTCTTGATGCAGGACCTTTCACAGAGTTCACCAAGGTCAACCCTGAATACATCACTGGTAGTGGTCAACCCCAGATGATCATCAAGCTACGCCATGAATGGTCCAATGAAGAGAGGAGGAAGTACAACCTTGACAACATTGCCAAGGATATCCTCTACAAGGCCATTGATGACAAGTACTTCACAAGGATCAAGAAGTGCAAATCTGCCAAGGAAATCTGGGATACTCTTACCCTGATAGGAGCTGGAGATGAGCAAGAAAAGGATAACAAACTCACTATTGCCGTGAATAAGTTTGAAGATTTCAAGCTTCTGCCCAAAGAATGCATCACTGAGATGTATGCACGCTTGCTCACCCTCACTGCTGAGATATCAGAACTTGGGAAGGAACTTACTCCCAAGGAGATCAACTTGAAGGTTCTCAGAGGTCTACCTTCACCATGGAAGATGAAGGTCACTGCCATGAGAGATAGCAAGGATCTCAGAACCTACAGCACTGAGAAACTCATCTCTGATCTCAAGCCTTATGAGTTTGAGATGAATGAAGAGGAGAAAGAAGAAGTTGAGGACAGAACAACTACTGCCCTCGCTGCCACCACCTCTCAGGTAAATAATTTTGACCCTTCTATTCTTTTAACTGACGAGTATATGGCGGCTTTTGCTAGGAAGTTCAGGAAATTCTTGAAGCCGAATGATAGCAGAAGTCCACACTCTAGCAGAAAGCCACACCAGAAGTCCAAACCATCAGAAAGTAGTGGAGAGCTTCTCTGCTACAACTGCAGACAACCAGGGCACTTCAAAGTCAACTGTCCACACCCCATAGTCTCCAAAAGGCAAGGCCATGAAGGAGAAAAGAAATATGAGCACCGAAGAAGGAAGGCGCTCATCACTGAACAACCAGAGAAGGACCCCCTCTCTGAGACAGAGTCCAGCTCGGAATCAGAATCTGATGAAGCATTCTGTTGCCTGGACACAGAAACTGAAGACCTATGCCTTATGGGTCAATCTGATGATGAGGTATCTTCTACTTCCAACTCCAGTTTTTCTTCGGTAGGCAGAGCCTTTGATTCTGATTCAATGTCAGAATTTTGGGAAGAGTTTCAAGCCATTCAAACCACTTATTCTTCTGTTAAAGAAGAAAACAGTAAGCTTAAGGTTGAAATTCTTGACTTAAGAAAGGAGGTTGAGATCAAAATCAATCTTCTAATTAAGGAGAGAGATCAGCTGGAAGCTGAAAATGTTTCTCTTCTAAAGAGAATAAGAGAGATAGAGCCTCTTGAGATTAAGTACAAAGCTTACCAGAAGGCCTAGTCTTCCATGGAAAAGATTGTACTTGACCAACAAATTGGCACTGGTTTTGGTCTTGGTTATGGCTCAACAGAATCAGGTGAGCCTTCTGTAATGCCTAGCACCAGAGTTGCTAAGGCAGACAAGGTCATAGTGCCACTGATTTCTAGCCCCATTTGTCAGGCTGGTGTATCTGGCACCAAGGTTATTCATGAGAATGTCAGACCAGAAAAGGAAAAGATAAAGGTTCAACAGAAACCCATTTTAAAAGTTAATGAACCTGGCAGAAGACCTAACAACAGGAAAGGTTTTCAG